TATACATATAGGCCTATGTATTAATATATGTATATATACAGGTATATATATATATGTATATATATATATTATATATACATATATATATTGTCATTTCTCTACTGTTCCGTTTAAATTTTATATTGTATTGTTTTGCATTATGTGGCCGTTTGCTGTTTTTATTGGTTTTTCCCATTTAAATATATATAAATGTATATATATATATATATATATGTATACATATATATGATATATATATATAATTGTATATATGTAACTATCTGTTTACAACAGAATTAATTTTTACATCTTTTTTTACAGAAACGCCTACACCCCCATCACATACAGGTATTTATATTCAAATTATTTTTTCCGTTTATTTCTTAATGTCAACTGCATGTCTTTATAACAAAGGTCAGATACAAGGTCAGAACATAAACCTCATACGCCATATAATCATGTTAATGTGGCTTGTTGACATTTCACATATATGTGTAGTTGAGACGACAGACCAGCTAAATCATTCTATTGTGTATAAGGCCTACCAACACTAATATAATGGTTATATTATTAGGAGTCATTCTATGTTTGTAGAGGAATTAATATAATTAATTTTCTGTATACCTGTGTTTTAGACTTTAATTATACTTTATAGATGTCAGCAAGGCCTTTATTTTACGCTATTATATTATATAGAAAGAGTGCTCTAAAACTTACATTTACTTTCGCAGATTCCTCAGTGATTACAAAATAATAAAATCGATATTTTGCATTTATCTAGGCTTGACTGTTTACACTGTATATTTTTAATGTTTCGAAACTGAATTGACTAAAGGAATTCTATTTTACCGGCACATTATTGTGATTCACAGAAAGTTTTCAAGTTTTCACTTGGTGGTAGGTTGAATAATGCATTCAAGCTACCAGAGTCATCTCTTCTCAAATATATAATTTTTTATAGCAAACGGTACTTAACTGTACATTGTGTTTTTTTTTTTTATTCCAGCCCAGTATACAAATACAAGTAGTTTGGATAGGTTCGCCTTCTATCCGAATGCTGCAATTTTAGATGTTACAAAAATATTACCTGGCATAGATTTGGAAAGGTGCGCTGCTGAGTGTCTGCAACAAGAAGAATTCCTGTGCAAATCATTTCAATTCACTGGAACTGCATGCTTTTTGAACGTGAAGAATTCGGCATCTGTACCACTTAATACATATGAAGATGGCTCTTATGATTATTACGAAAGAATTGATATAGGTATGATGACTTATATACACGACAACATAATTATGAACTAATACATCAAAAAAGAAACCAGTGGGATAACAATGACACAATAAAAAAAAAGTCATGATTTTAGAAATGAAGCAACGAGGAGTTCTCTCAGTCTACAACATAGCATTGGAGTCAAGCAAAAACAAAAACTCGTACAAATAAAAAATGTCTGTCAATTATAAATAGGTATGTTAAAACCATAAACTGACGTTCGCATATTATAAGGGACACCATCTTCGCAAAACATCTAATAATTAGCACTGCAGGTTTTATAAAGTTTCATAATTCTGCAAAGTGCATAATATAATAACGATAAAAATAAGGGTGATTATGATAATAATAGTGATTGTTATTATTATCATTCTTTCTTAGTGTATCTTACGCTTACAATTGACAGCAGTTTTAAAGCCAGGCTCCGGAGGAAAAAATTATATGGGAAAACTGATGGAAAAAGTAGAAATAAAGAGTGGTTACTGTCCTTTCCTCCCCCACCCACCCAGTTTTTAAATATTAAAAAATCTGTATGTCGTTAACCGCTTCCGAGTTATTCGTCAAATACGCTTTTTGTGTTTTAGAAAAAGCAGTTTTGCAAAATATCAATTTTCCCTCCGGAGCCTGGCTTGAATAGGTTCAGCGGAGATATTAGTGCCCAATTGTCTGAAGTTTTTTTGTTCTTTACAATTTGATATTGTCATGAGTGATTGGTATTGATAGTGTGATGTTATTTTGCCTAACTATTTCATAAACTATCTTTTATGACGAAATCAAGAATTATGGTCCATAAATGCCAGATTCGCATTTGGTATTTATTTTAGCAACTTATAACCTAAAGACGCATGCTCTTTGCCACTAGCTTGTAAGATATTTTGGCCGTCAAAACTTGTCCTCATCGACCACTGATTCCACTGCACTAAACTATGCTATTATTTATATTTTAGGACCAGTGTCATCCTTTGAGATTGTGCCAAACTCTGTGTTGCCTAATCAGAACGTCGAAGTACATCCCGACTTTATGTTAGAGGCATGTGCGGAGCTTTGCCTTGCCTCAACCTCATTTTACTGTGCTTCCTTTGAGTTTAATCGTTTTACCTATCAATGTTCCTTAAGCAATGTTATCCGTCAGACAGCAAATCCACCAATTCGCAGTGATTATCCGAACAACCCTTATGATTACTACGAACGAAAAACAATTGGTGAGTACTGTAAACATAGACCTGTATTATTTACAGTAATGGCTATTATATTGTGCAAGAGGAGGGCAGGGATTTTGCCCAACGGGGTATCCAATTTCCCCGACGGGGTCCGATGACTTTCGGAAGAAGGAAAGGGGTGAAGCCTCGAAAACTATGAAATTGTATCAATTTCATTATTACGTAGTACGTATTAGTCTTCTGATATGTAAAAATATACAAGTATTTATTTGTCACCGACCTCTGTCTGACCCCTGATATTGTGAGGTTTAATGTCCGAATTTGGATTTTGCTTTTTGTAAAACCTGGTGCACACTCTATGATTCGTCGCATAGAGTGACAGATCACACATTAAAAAGCAGGATCAAAATTTGTAGGTATACAATAGAACCATGGAGGTAAACGAATTTGAAATAGGCCTATCCTGTATTTTCATAAAGTACTAAGGATCCAAAGATTTTCTGTCCTTCAAGTGATTCGATTTTTACAACATCAACTGTGAACTATGCTGCACCAACAACTGATAATAGTAACCACCCTCCTACAGTCACATGTGATCCTCCATCTGGGTCTTTATTTCCTGATGGTGTAAGTAGTGTTGAGTGTACTGCGAGTGACCAATTCAACAAAACCGCGTCCTGCAATTTTAATATAACAGTCGGTAAGCAAATACAAAATCGCATTTCACAGCGGTTCTTTCTGATTGTCAATCTGCATTGCAAATATACAGGTCTTCCTCCAGTTAAAGACCACAATTGGGACCGGGGTTTACATGGTCTTCAGCTTTGGTCTGTAATATTAGAATATTAAAAAATGAAAGACATTTGTTAATTTCGGACCATAGAAAAATGGTCTTTAATTGGAGGTGGCTTTCATTAGAGGGAGACATGTATTAATACATTTTATACATTATATATATATATATATATATATATATATATATATGTATATATGTATGTATATATATGATTATATATGATATTGAAGGGAGTTAGCCGTTAACACTGTTGAATTAATATAATATAAATCATCAAAGGTACATATACAGTGTTTAAATAAGGACATGATGGAACATCGTAGGCTACCCTGTAGCCTTTCAATGAATAAAGTCCTATAAAAGTCATTGTGTAATAAAATGACTCCGACGGGATTCGAACCTGCGACCTCTCGCTGAAAAGGCGAGCATCATAACCACTAGACCATGAAGGCTTCGTGGTTGAACAGGTCCAAATAACCGTCGGGAACATTGTATTACACAATGCTACGCCTCAAGAGGCGTTCGGCCAGATAAATCTGGCAATACGGCTAGAAATACTGTCGTATATTATATATGATATTGAAGGGAGTTAGCCGTTAACACTGTTGAATAAATATAATATACATCATCAAAGGTACATATAGTGTTTAAATAAGGACATGATGGAACATCGTAGGCTACCCTGTAGCTTTTGGGAGGTCCAGTTTATGTAAGAAAAATTTAAATTGATTCCAAAAAACTGTGATCTCTTTACATGAAATAAACATATGTTTGTAGTCGTCTTCAATTTTGCATCTTTTACACAGAGGCGAATCAGTAAG